CGCTCTGAATGGGGCTGTTGAGGGGAGAGGGATGAGGGAATTCAGCTCAGGGCTCACCAGCTTCAACACTTCTCTGATTTTCTGCAGCAAGAATTAGCTCAGCCTTTTGACTTTATCAAGAGGCCAAGCCTTTGAGATGACTCTTCTCTTCTATCTCAGGCCTCATCACTTACCCCAAGCAAGTTTCCCAGAAAGAGTCCAGGTAGATGCTAATGCATACACCCTTCCATTCTAAATCTTGGTCCCGTGGAGGACTGAAAGAGAAATCACTTCATTCAGACATTCAGTTTTTAAAAAATATTTCTTTTGAGACAGGGTATTATGCTGTCACCCATGCTGGAGTGCAGTGGCACGATCATAGATTATTGCAACCTTGAATTCCTGGGTTCAAGTGATCTGCCCTCCTCAGCCTCTCAAGTAGCTGAGACTACAGGTGGTGCTACCATGCCTGGCTAATATTTTTTAATTCTTTGTAGAGATGGGGTGTTGCCTAGCCTGGTCTTGAACTTCTAGCCTCAAGTAGTTATTCTGTCTTGGTCTCCCAAAGCACTGGGATTACAAGTGTGAATCACTAAAAAATATTATTTAATACTTACAGTGTGCTAGGTACTGGGAATAGAGAGGTGAACAGGGTGGACACCAGCTTTAAATTTATGAAGGTACTTTGAGAGAAGGCAAACATTAAACTAATCACAATAGCACAAGTAATTAATTACAGTTGTGAGGAGTGCTAAGAACGAGAGTTATACTGTATTATAACAAGGTTTAGCTTGCAAGGGGGAGTGGATACAGAGGAATGGAATCTGGGAAAGACTGGCTGAGAATAGCTCAGGCCTCTCTTATTTCCTATCTGGGCTTTTGCAGTGATGGATGAGGAGGAGGCTAGCAGTTTATTTCCCCTGGAAGTCACATTGCTGGTGTGATGCAAAGTACCATGACTCCTGCTATTTAATAAAGAATGCTGCTTGTATCCTGGGGAGATGGATGAGCAAATATTCTTGATTGAAGAAGCATGTGCCCTCCCTGATATAAATGGATAGGAGGGGGTGGGGCTTGGAGACAAATGGGAAAACAGGTCTGAACTACGAGTTGAAAAGAATAGCTGGGCTGTTGTCTTCCCAGACGCGCATAGAACCCTGCACTGTGGGTGGCTGCTGCCCCCTGATGGGCATAGAGACACCCTTTAGTTTTGTCCTTTAAGGAAGATATGGGTCCAAAGTATTTAAGGGATGTCAGAACAACCTTCTCAGGGTTCTTTTCTCTGTACATTTTGCAGCCAGAACTGGGAAGACCTCCCCACAGGTGGGGCCTTGAAGCTTGCAATTTTAATGTTTGAGGATGGAATTTTAATTCCTAAGGTTGTGGTGTTGAGTATGGTCAGCAGGGAAGGAAAAACAAGAGGGAGGAATGTGGAATTCCAAATAAATCGTGTTCAAATGACCCATACCATTTTTTTTTTTTT